TCGCCTTGCGCACTGTGTCGGAAGTGGCCTTCATAACGATCGGCTCGGCCCCTCCCTTCTGCTTCACTCGTGTCGGTGACGCAAGTAGTGGAAATCCATAGGGCGGTATCTTCATATTTAGATCCATCTGTGCTCCGGACACCGCCACGACACGAAGTAGTAATGCTCCATGAAGAATTACACGCAGTGCATCACGTTTACGTTCATTGGTTGTCCCCATGGAGTTCACGACAGCACAATATTCCGCCCATACTTCACCCCATGCACGCACCACCATCGTCTCACGTGGGGATTCTAACATGTCTTGATGGGTAAATATCGTAAAGAGCGCAAATGGATGCACCTGACACGTGGTATGATTGTAAGGAACCACAAAACCATCCCGCTCATCCTGCACGGTGGTGTCTACCCCTGTCGTCAGATACCCTGTTGGGCTGCTTAACTGTCGTTGGAGCAATTCCACAAGTCGCAGACGTGCCTCTGGCAAATTGTGCAGAAGATAATTACGTTGTGGAAGCTCGGCAAAAAGTTCCGTCGGTACATAACTCCGCAACAAGGGATGGGTACCACTCCACTGCATTAGACGAGGGGTACCACCACGAAGGTCCATCAACGCCGCCTGTCCAGACCAAAAAACATTCATCGTGTAACCAAGAAGACCAGGACAATTCTTAAGGACTTCGTACATCAGCCCAGAAAATTCTAAACGTGATCGCTGATGCAACGCATATAAAACAGATACAAGCGGTAGCACACGAAGTCGCTGCTGTAACCCAATGCCATTGGATAATGGAATAAAGTAACGACGAACCGGTGCATCCGCATGCGTCAAAAGTAGCTTACTTGCGCAATGACCCGTAAAAACCATGTCAATTTGCCCAACCGCAACAGTAACTTTGGCTAAAGCTGCCTCCACCGTGTCCAATTGAAAGGGAATTTGATGTTTAAAGTGCATCAATGATTTCAAGGGGGAAGTTGCAACATCCTCCTTCTTCTTTTTACTGTTGTTGCTGCTATTTTCGTTATTATGTGTCCTGCTCACATAATTGTGGTTCGCCGACATCAACGCGGCTGTCGTTGTTGTTTTCCCGACGGCAGCTTCTGTGGATCCCTCTCCCATTGCATCCATGTACCCTGATTGTGGGAAAAGACCCGATACACCGTTGATCGTCATACTACGTGTAGACCCTGCGGTGGCCACCAGTCGAGCTTCCATGGCATCTAACACGCGGTCCATATCATCCACGAGAATCGCGTGGAGCAGCGACGGCACGCCCGCAGAGCAGGCATAAAGCTGAATACGCTTCTGGTACAATTCCCATGACCAGTTAAGACGATTGGCCCACCACATCACAGACTTGGGGGCCCGTGTGAAAAGCTCTTCCGTGCGTATCAAATAAGGGCATGAAGCGAGTGCGACGCGGAACCAAAAGCGAGAGGGAAATGCAAGAGGATTATCATCTAAACCAGGGGTAAATGGCATCGTGGCTCCAGTGTAACGCACAATAATGGCCTTCTTGCCGCTTTCAGACATCCGCTTGTAAAGACGTTCCAACACGGAGGTTTTACCACATGAGTGACCCGCCTCTACAAAATGCACCGGTTTAACGGCAGAGGGCGGGATGGAGTAGCAGTTCAATACGGAGGTAAGACGATCCTCCACAAGTTTTGCCGTCCCAAAGAGTTGCTGCAAACCAAGCGCTTCTGCCGCATTGAAGCCATGACGAAATTCATCGGCTCCCCTGAAGGTGTCAAAAAGTGTCGTGCGTGCCACACGGATGGTGTGTCGCTTCAGGCGATGCAATAAAGAGAAATACTCGTTCTGTACTGTGTCTTCTGTCCACGATGTGGAGGAGGGTGGGGGAGGTGGCTGCGGATGTCCAGGCCACTCACCAAGCTTAACATTATAATTGGCCGTACCTGCCAAAAAGACTCCGCTTGTTAGTGTGGGGGCAGCTACATTCATAGAGGAGTTGGGTGTAGTGCCCGGCGTTTGAGCATCGGGTCCGCCAGATGATAAAATGTCTAAATCATTTCTATCTAAATCATCCGCCTCCTGTTCCCCGGTGCTATGAAAGACAAAATAACGTACAGGCAGATTTCTTAGCTGCAATACGGACGCTGCTTGCCTCAATAATCCAGGAATTCGTTCTAAAGCTAAAAAACCATGATCACGTAATGAATAGAGTTCTTTTGGCATGCTATGGGCTCGCGCTTCCAATACCTTTAGTATGGCTTCATTGAGGGTGGCGTACGCCTTTTCACGAATCTCTGCTTCGGCTTGGCTATCAAGCATCGCCTTCCCTGTCGTATTGCCACCATGATCGGCATGTCGTTGAGCTATGTATTCTTTTCGTACACTTGCCAACACCTTTCTTGCAAGGCTGTAATAATGTTCCAGGGTACAGACATGTCCGGGACTCATGGAAGATGATGTGGTATCCATAGCAGCAATTGCAGCAGCTTGCTCTGCGATGGCTTCATTCGCATTTTCCGTCCCCAACACAGATTTTCCTGCTCCTGTACTCTGACGCTGCAAGGCTGCTTGTTCTACAGTGATATGTAGTGTTTCCAGAATAAATTTACTGACGGTGTCTGCGGCCCATGATATCAACATAATTGACAGTCGGTTGCTTGTGTTCACAACCCTGACTACCTCCTCAACGTATGCCTCAACACTTTTTTCCACCGCAGCATCCAGTAGACTTCGTGTACACGACGAAACCTTCACTAGATCCGGCTGCTCTGCCCATTGGTACAACGTGGTTACACCCGCCTGCCGCAGCGCTCGCAGATCATAATATGGGGACTCCAACTCCAGACGTGCCACCTGTTTATAGTGTGTGCTTTCAATGAGCCACTCATGCCACTGCTTCCTACCACCAAGAGCCGCAAGCTGTCGTTTAGGCTGCATGGCTGCAAAATCACTGAGAGAAACATTTTCCACCCCATCTGCACTTGGTTCTATAAGAAGTCGCACTACATCTGGTAACATTTCCCCCGCAAGGGAGTCACTCACTTTTAAGATGTCACCGATATGAGTGTCCAACGTCGGTTCTGCAAGAGCAGACATGCGGCACGCCGCTGTGGCACGTAGCGGACCTCCTTGAGCTGCAGAGGTCTGCATCAGTCCAACTGATTCCGCTGGAACCCATGCTGCACGTGCAGCTACCTGGTCGGATGGCTCAAAAGAATTCTCAAGAATTCCATCCAATTCTGAAGGGTCTGCAATAAATGACGGCGCCGCCGCTGTAATGGACACGCTTGGTGGGATTTTCACGGCTGCCGCGACGGTGGAGTTTGCGTAGGGTGGCGCCGTGCTGTCATACGGTGCCATTTTTACAGTTGAATCCTGCGACACGGCATCACGGAGCCAAGGCATCCGCGGCGCATGACTGCCAGGTGGGAGATACGCAAACTGTTGAAAACGCCCAGACTGCTGCGTGTATCGCCTACTGACTTTTACTGCCTGCAGTCCTGCAAATGAGAGCTCTGGCACAGCAATACGGCGCGGCAGCATGCGTGTTCCCTCCCTCTTTCTTTTTCTATCGCTCTATCTTTCTCTTTCCCTCTATGCTTACTTAGCGTGTGTATATGTATGTTTGTGGGTGTATATGTAAACTAGTGCGTATAAAACAAATACACCCACCTGCCTTCGCACCGCCTCCCGGATAAACCCTTTTTTTTTTTTTTTTTTTTCAAATAATATTTTCAATGGCAACGGTGAAGGAAAAGAACAGACAAAAAGGAAGAAAAAAGAGAAAAAGTGAGGAACAGAAGAGACATGTCTTTACAAGAAGAGGGTGTGGGGGTGAAATTACAGAGCCTCTCCCCCATTTTTGCAAATCGCAGGAACAGACAACATGTACGTGACTTTCCGTGCACGGCGTGGCGTTAACGACTGTTTGTTTTGAAGGATTCCTTTTTTTTTTTTTTTTCGACCGACAATTTTGCCTCATCCCCTCTTCTAGAGACATCACACACACGCACAAAAAAAAAAAAAAAAAAAAAAACAAACAAACACGGCCTTCACCTACCCCCTGTTTTTTTATTTGCCTTCAACCACTCCTTTCTTTCTTTCTCTCTCTCTCTCTCTCGATATCTCCTTTACAGAACAAACTTGTATGGCTTTCCGTCCATACCAGGGGAGATCACTTCGGCGTTCTCCCAAATCTCTACCGCCCGCTCCTCGTCTAGGCGGGCATCCTCAATGCGCCCAAGCGCCTCCCGTGCCTCCGCCCGCAGCTGAAAAAGTGTGGCGCACCGTTTTTGATTCACAAATGAAAGCGCCCTTGTGATGTCATCGTCCGCACGTTCATATGATTTCAGCTTGCAGTAAACCATTCCGCGTGCCGCAAGAACGGCGCCAATGGCCTTACGATGCCGCTCCTTTTTTAGATCTGCACCCTCACTGATGAATCCCATGCAGGCTGTCAAAGACTTCAGTGCTCCGGCCGGATCGTCTTCATACACTTGAATTTTGGATCTTGCGTACATTGCCATGACAAGTGCCATGAGTTTATCAAATTTGGCGTGCATGTCGATACCAAACTTCTTCTCAATATGTGCCCGCACCTTTGGGTGCTCCAGCCACTTCTGAAACATGTCAATGTCCCGCATGTAGCGGTTCACAAACTCGTGCGCCTTCTTGTAGTCATGATTCTCCTCAATGATCATGTGGGCACCATGGAGAAGACCCCAATGCACAAAGCCGTTAAACTCTTGTCGTTGCTGCATATTTTCCATTCCCTCACGTTGCGGCTCGAGGAGGTAATCCACCTGATCTTCAACAAGAATTGGGTTCCCAAAGGCCTCCAGACGTTTCTTGTCTTCTTCCAATGCCTTTTGGATGTCAAACATCACCTGTCCATCCACAAAGCCCTCATCATCAATCTCGTCAATGGCGGGATCAAAGCTCGGTGGGGGGACAAAACGGCGTGCCTCATCGAACACCTCGTCTGCCATGTGGAAGTCGGGATTGACAAAAAAGTTGTCCTCCGCGTAGCTCACTTCAAGCGGCCGTGTAGGACTCGGCACTTCTTTTACCTCCGGCACAAACATGCCGTCCAGCTTCCTTTTATTCTTGTCAAACGGGGATGAAAACATACGACCCGACCAGTTTTGGTTCTCTTTTGGCCACCAGCGCTCCATTTCAGACGCGGCTGCGGCACCCACGGGCTCCTCACCGCGTCTCTGCGCATCGGTGGCGCGTTGCTCCGTTCGACGTCGCCGCTCCCCCGCATCCATCTCCTCCTGCCGCCTCTCACCGTACTGCACACCACCCGGCGTTGCCGCCGGAGATGTCGGTGGAGGGCGTGGCGGCGGTGAAGTTCCCGTTACGAGATTACCTCTGCGCCTGCCAGCGTCCCTGGTCCCGCTGATGCTCCTTCCACCACCAGCACCAACAATGCCAATACCACTACCATTGTTGCTGCTGATAAGGCGACGGCTATGAATAATGTTCTCTCCACCGTAAGGGCCGTTGCTCCTCATTTGGCGTCGTGTGAAAAGGCAAAAACAACGTCGCCGTAGCCCGACAACGTGAGACGGTGGTGCCGCCGCGTGTACGATACGCTGGAAGAGTGGCATATAAATCCTCCTACGTGATCTATGCCTCCTGTACCGCAGCGTATATGTGTGTCTCTGTCTGCCAGTAAAAATGTCGCCGCAGTGCACACACCCTAGCCTGGTCCCCAATGGTTACCACACAAAGAGGCCAAAAGAGAGTCAGAGAGAGAGAGAGAGAGAACAGAAAAAAAAAAAAAAATGGTGAAAAAATAAGAGGTGAAGAAGCACACACACACACACAAACAAACAAGGAAAGACAAATGTACACATTTTGCGTGCATTGTTTTATCGGCCTGTTATTACGGTTGACAAATTGGCCACACAATGGCTCTTCCCCTCCCCTCCCACATCTTCTAACAGCAGTTCACTCAACGAAAAAGGATGCAACATTCAACATCTGCGTTGTAAACTAAAAAGAGAAGGTGTCGGCGCCTGCGTGTGTCTGTGCAAGAGAGAGAGGAAAAAAAAAAAAAGGAGGGAAAAGACGCCTTCAAACAGTCAAGAGAACAATCCGTTTCTTCAAGCAGCACATCCCCTTCAATCACGGCCCCATGACTGCTCATGATAGGCTCAGCAAACAATACAAATCACAAGCAAACAATATGTACAAATATTTGATATAAATAAACAGCACACAGTAAAATAACACAAACACACACACACAGAGAGAGAGAAAAAGACAAACAAACAAAAAGAAAAGAACAACCCGGCCAACAAATCAACAGTAACGCAGCATACTAAAAAGCAAAACAAAAAGGCAGCACACTTACACGAACAAATTCACACATACTTAGCAAGAGAAAAACGAGAGAGATGCAGACAAGGAAGAAAGGAAGTAAATAAAACCTGACACAGGCACATGTACATATGCCATTACCAGCATCAGTTCCACTCTTCGCTAAATGTACATCCTTCTTCCTATTCCTCCCACACACTCTCTTTTAGCTCTGTGAGAATCGTTCTCCCTTGTACTGGTGATGCCAACCAATGCCACCTCTCATCAATGGTTCACCACCACCACTGGTATGGTTTTCCTTTCTTTTCTTTCTCCAGTTAAAGAATAAAATGATGTCATGTCATGTTGGCGTTGTATTCATGCCACCCGCAACGCTGTTAATCAGAAAAAACGAACGACAACGCTCCGCTGTCCATCGCTCCCTTGGATCGAGTGCAAGTAACCCCATTATCACCTTCTGAAGAATCATTGTTGATGGAGAAGAGGAAGAATTGGGCGGCGAAACCGCTATAACTGGTTGCTGCGCCGCTTCAATGTAACAGTGTCGTGTATGGTCATCCTCTGAGACACACTTGGGGTTTTTACAGGGCGGGTAGAGCCGCCGCGAGTAAATCAGCTCGTAGAGAGTTGCGCCAAGGCTGTAACAGTCCGTTGCACGACTACACGTTTTATCTTGCAGGGCTCTGCTATCCATGTACTCAAGTGTCCCAAAGACCCCCGTCACTTCATCCATCGCACCCGGTCCAACGATGCGGCAGTTACCGAAGTCACTCAAATAAAACTTGACGGAACCCGCCGTTGGGGTGTTCGCCACACGCATGACACCCGAAGAGGGCGGTGTCGAAAGTGATGACGGGATGCTGGCAGCATTCCCCGGTGTGGCGGGTGGTTCCTGCTGTTGCCGCTGGGAATGATACTGCAGCTGAGACGGACTGTTCTCGTACGCAAACAAAATGTTGCTTGGCTTGAGGTCCAGATGCACAAGCCCAAGTTGATGCATCGCAGAAAGGGCAGAGCTCACACAAAAGGCAACCCCTTTCGTGATACTGTCGTGCCGCTCAATGTTCCCCACATCGCCATCGCACAGCTCCGTGACGAGAAAAATGGTTGCGTCACAATTCAAGGCATCCTCCACGGATATCGATAAGAAACATGGAATGCGCACCTTCTCGTACCGCATGCGTTCCGCCAATTGATCCTCCGTCTCTTTTTCATTTCCCTCCTCTTCCTCACTCAGCTGTGACTGCATAAACGGCTTTTGCTTCCTTTGCCCTTTTCTCGTTGAACGCTTTCGTTGTTTTTTTCGTTTTTTTCGTTCCCGTTCTTCTTCGGCCTCCGCAAGACGTGCCCTCCACTCAACGGCTTCCACAACATCTGGCGGGAGTGCCTCACGCGCCGGCACAAAGAACGCACTGTAGAGTGGGAGAATATACGGCACCTCGTGTTCATTAAGAAACCGCATAATGGCAATTTCCCGCAACACGGAGAAGCCATCATCGATGCTTCCACGTGAATGAAAACTGATGGGGCAGGACTTTACCGCAACAAGATCGCCGTCAACGGTCTGACAACGCCAAACAATGCCAAAGCTGCCCTCTCCAACGTATTCGGCCGTTATGAAGGCTTGCCAGAACTCTCCAGGCTCAAGACAGTGCAACTTTGACACAACGCTTTCCACCGTATCAAGAAAACACTTACGAGTAAATCGCTTTTCAAACAGCGGTCGAACCTTTTCCACAGCGCGCTTTGGCTCCAAGTCTAATTCCTCTTTACCCAGCATGGTGATAGAGGTGGGGGAAGCTCTGGCAGTGGCCGCCGTGGCAAACGTAAAGGAACTGAAGGAAGAATTACACCAATCCGTTGAAACTTGTGGACGTGATGAAAAGAGAAAATCTCGTACGCTACGTGCTGGGCTGCCCTCATTACTGTTAAAGGAAGCAGACAAGGTTGGCTCATTTGTAGGTGGAGAGGAGGGTAAACCCAGGGGTCGGAGCGGTTTAACACCTGTTGCTCGATCCGCCAGTTGCATGGCATTTTTTCCCAACTCACCTAAACTGGTGTTCGTCTTGTTGTTCTGATCCTCCTTTTGACTAAAATTACCGATCTCATCATCATTATCATCATCTATAATGTAAGAACGACTCGTATTGTACGGAAGCGTGGAAAAACTCATGTGCATGGTCGTGCTCATGTCAAGATGTTTGACCAAATTATTGAACTTTTGGTAGGGCTGCTGAGAGACCAAATTCCCTGCAGCCTTGTGGCCATCCGCCTCGCCATCGTTTCCCTCCTCGTCATCCTCTGTAATGTCATCATCGTAAATAAAGCAACCGTTCGGGAGTGGACTACACGAACGTGGTGGCGGTTTGTTTGCCTGAAGTGGTCCCTTGCGTGGACGAAACGTCGGTGGCAACACCCCAGCGATGGGCTCTCGTCGAGGTGGCTGTGGTGTTTGCTGTGGGGCGGTGGTGCCCCTTGCACGTGTTGCATCACCGACAGGGTGTGGGGGCGATGTACACATCTCGGGACGTACAGCGGGTGGTGCAGATAGCGGTGGACATGATATGACTTTGATTTCTTCATCTTCATCGTCATCTTCATCTATACAGATCCACAACGTTGCTGGGGAGACAGCGGGTCGTGTAGCTGCAGCCTTTCTAATCAACGTGGTCGAGGGCCTTTCTTCAGGACTAAGAGCAATGCTGTCCCGATCACTACTGTCTTTATTCTTCTCACCGTCAGAAATGTACGGGATGCATTCAGAGCGCCCTAATGAGTGCCGTGTACCGTTTTTTGTCTGTGTGGAAGACGGGAGTGGGGTGGTATTTGAGTTTCTACACGTCAAGCACTCCGGACTTTTTGCTTCCGCATGCACTGACGTTTTAGCCAACGATGGGGTTGACGCCCCACTCAACGACAGACCCCCCCAACCCCCTTCACATCGTTCCACAGCTGCCTCTGAAGTTGTTGTTGTTGTGATTGCTTGCACGGTGGCTGCAGATGCCTTCGATGGTGACAATAAAAATTCAGACGGCAGAGGCGGCGCTACTTGATACGCCTGCTTTCCCAACTGCTCTGGTGTCACATCCTCGTTCACATCGTCATTATTTTTCTCTGTACGTAATCGTTTCTTTGGGTTTCCCTTATTCTGCCCATCCACAGCGGCAGCATGACTCGCTGCTGCCATGTGAGCAGATGGCCTAACACCATACTGCACGGATGGCACGTTTTTGCCGGCATGTAGTGCTGCAGTCGATGCCACAATTCGTGTCATTTTGGCTCCTGCCACACTCGAGACACCTTCCCTGTTTCCGCCATGTTTTTGATGTGTCTTCTTCTTTGGAGACATTTCTATATTTTTCCTGTCCGCGTCGTGAGAAGCCGCAAGGTCGATACGCAACAATGCGTGATCGTCGTGCTGGTAATAAATAATGAGCGTCACCTCAACTTCTCACCGACACAACAACAGGAAGAATTCCTCCTCACACACACACACCCTCTCTCTCTCTCTGTGTGTGTGTGTGTATGTCTGTAATGTACGCACGTTCAAATTGTGCGTATATATATATATATATATATACGTCTGTATTCCTTCCTTCTCGTTGTTGTTTTCGCTGTAGGAATTTTGCGGCGCAATGCGCTGGCCCTTCCCACCACTTCTCCCTTCTCACCCCTGCTTCGTGTGAGGAGATGTCTGGCGTTAAAGGCTTAGCTTCTGCCTGCAAAAAGGAAGAACAAACAAAAAAAACAAAAAAAAAAAACACACACACAGAGAGAAAAGAACGGCAAGACACATATGTTGAAAGCATTGAATGGGGGAAATAACAACAAACAAAAAAACGAATAAAAAATCAAACGTCTCGGTGCCGTGACGACAATATTTCCGCCCCCCTTTTCCTCTTCTCTCCGTGCTCTTCATGCATCGTCAAGCGTCATCAAAGCCATTCAGCAGCCAGCCGAGTTCGGTAAGACTCAACTCGGCTCGTGCGGTGCCACTAAGGGCCGCCACATGGGCGTTTATATGTGCCGCAAGTTCGTCTCCAGCGCAAAGACGACAGCATTCCTTCCACGGGTATATGCAGCTATACACAATTTCCAAAGGAAGTTCAAACACATGCGGCAAAGAGAGACGCTGCAGGGCCCAAATGGCTTTAACCCACAAAACGCGTGACGCCGTCTCGTTTTTCAGGCACTCGTGTTGAAGCAACAACTCCAACTCGTCTGTCACCGACGTGAAAAAGACTCCGCGATCATCCGTGTGGAAGGAGACATTTGGGATGGCAGTTACTTCCCTACCCAACGCAGGCGATGGACACCATCTAGCCAAACGCCGTTGCACCCGACACCGCATCGCCATCGAGAGGCTCGACTCGTTTGTAAGCAGTGACAGTAACGCGGGGTTCACCCCATCCCCTTGGCTGCCCCGCTGTCGGTGGAGAATGTCACCGATATGATGCTGTGTCACCTCTGTGTAGCCCCCAGTCACGGCATTACTGGTGATGCAGAGTTCAATCGCATCATGCCGTGCGAGAATGGCAGACAAGTTTGTTGAATCTGTGTAAACAAGATGACCCCAACGCTCCGGTGCAAATTTCACCATCTCCGCCAACTCCTCCGGGTCGTCCTTCTCCCCTGCATGCAAGGTGACACCCAGTGACGCGTACGATGGTGATGTGGATATGCCATCGCCGCCACGCCGTGCCTCCGTGAGCGCCGGAAGAAAGTCCAGAAAGTGATTCTTACCGCAGTAGCCGGAGAAGTCCACACCTGTCACCCAACAGGTTCGTCGAATCCGTTCTCCTTGCCGGGTCATGCTCAGATTGCTCGTGCCTTGAAACAATGCAGCTTCTGCCTGCAGAGATGCGTAAAAACGTTTTATTTGCTCGTGCTGGATCTTCTTTGCAAGCGTCACAACTTCCCACGCCGCTTCCGCGTTGTGACCCCGGTTAATAGATAAAATAAGACGAATATGCATACGATGCATTAACCAATCACGGAGCCTTTCCAATAACTTTTCCGCCAGCTCTTGGGTGGCGCCACTGGTTGCCCCGCTTGTCTCTGACTTCGCATTATTATCGTGGGAGCACTCCATTGCTGTAGAGACAAGCGAGGCATACAACTTCTGGAATTGAGACCACCATTTGGCAGGAACGGATGCGTTACGAGGCAACAATTCCCCTGTTTCAAAATCCACTAACCCACCATTCATGAGATGCTCCACAGTGTGGATTACAGTCTCAACGTATGTCTTTTTTGTGATACGCCCCGCCTCGTCACCACATGCGGCAACATGTGGGTTCTCGTAAAGCCCTTCCCGCAAGGAAGTCCGTATCTCAAGGAGAAACAAATTTTCTGCTGCAGAATGTAGTAACAAATCCTGCACAGCCATCCGTGTGAAGGCGGCATTATTCATGATATTGTAAATATTTTCAAACACTCTAAAACAGTATTTCATGCGTTCAGCGGGATCGGTAAATTTCTCCAGAACATTATCCATTTGCCCAATACTTTTACAAAAAAGCTCCCCAGTGTTCGCATGCACTGTATTGGTGGCAATAGAGGTTTGACGCTGCCTTTGTTTCAGATATTCCATATGTAGCAGCAATGGGGCGCTAATACTGCCATTCAGATGGCAATGCAAGTCCAACTTTGGCAGAAAATAAAGATCTGGTGGCTCGCCAGGGTGACGAGTGTAATACTTCGCCCAGGCCTGCTCAAACAACATAAGACTGCTGCAATTCTCATTGTTTTCCAAAAAAGACACCCCATCGGATTGGGCCATTGAAGCCGAGTCCATTTATTACAAGTATATAATTTTATGTGTCCTTTCCTTTGTGAAGACCACACAACGTGTCTTTTTTTTTTTTTTTTCGTAGGCACGTGGCGTCTTTTTGAAGCAGTAGACAAACAAACAAAAAAAAAAAGAATATGTATATAAGTGGGTAGGGATGACGGGGGAGGGGAAAGACACAAAAAAAATATGCATGCATGAAAAGGGTTCTCAACGGCGGTAGCACACATCCCCCAACGAGAAATTCCTCCTGTGGCACGGCGTTCCCGCACCGTCAAGTACACACGGGAAGAACGGGTCCAAATTTCAGACAATTGTTTACAATCATCATCGGTCTTTTCTCCCAAACGAGTAAATAACAACACGCAGGCCGAAGGACAGAGACAGGGAAGAGGGGGAATTGAAGAACACTCAAATACGCAATTAGGAAAACACACAAAAAGGTACACACACACGCACAAACACACAAATCAACGGGAAAGAAAAGTCGTCAAGGCACACAACAGAAAAACACACACACACACACACAACTACAAACACACAAATTTAAAAACAAATAAATATTTGTAAAATCCGCAAAACAACAACAACAACAACAACAACAACACATCTATGGCTTCCTGGATTACTACCTACCCACCCAAAGAACACACCACCCTGCTTTTTCCGCTACAACGACGTTGCGGCATTGGATAAGTTTATTTGTGCGTGTGTGTGGATGCGTTTGTGCACGACTGCCATCTATTACATTTCTCATTGCAGGTTGCATGCGCATACACATACACACACACATAGAGAGAGAGAGAAACAGAGAAAAAGTCAAGTTTGGGCTGCGTTACAACAACAACGTGGTCCATTCTTTATTTCCTTTCCCTCGTTCCCTCTTTCCCTCTTTCCCCTCCCCCCCCGTTCCTTTTCGTAACCCATATCCCCTATT